GAAGAAGCAGCAGTTCATGCGAAGGAAAAGCTTCATCAAGTTCACAGTATTATGCACAACTTTCTAGCATCCAAATACAGTGAAGCGGAAAGGAGGTTAGAGAATCTGATCCAGCACCTTTCATGGCAGCCTCCAACCAATCTCACCGGTTTTGTAAGTTCTTATTTGGCAAGATTTGTTGCTATAATTTATATATTGGCCTCTGTTGAATTTCATTCTCTGTTTTGTAATAATTTTTGATGATATGTAGAATTACATACCAGAAGCAACGATAGACTTCTCCACACGAGCGCTTATCCAAGCAAAACGAGCTCAAAGCATGATTCATGAAATCAGTCTATGTAGATGGAATAATAATATTACAACTGGGTATCATGATGAACACCACCACCCATCGTCATCATCATCATCATCGTCATCATCGCGTTCTTCCAAAGACGAAGAACCATCTTGTCTCGTTGATGGAACCAAATGCCAATACTCGTCTTGCGCACAAGGCAAGAAACTCCCACGCTGTGCGATCGGCTTCGCCGGGAGAGTGACGGGTGGTGCAAAGGGAACATACTACATGGTGAATCGCTCAGACGACGACCCAAAATATCCAGCCCCTGGTACTCTTCGTTTCGGTGTGAATTTGGCTGGGAGAAGTAAAGGTGGAGCTTGGATCACTTTCAAAGAGAGTATGGTGATCAAGCTTAAAGACAAGCTATGGGTACATTCAAATACAACGATTGATGGAAGAGGCGTAAAAGTAACCATCACGGCCAAAGTTCTTGCTCTAAAAAAGGTGCAGAACGTGATCCTGCATAACTTTGAGGTTGTATCAACTGGTTATAGCGATACCATCCATGTGTTTGATGGAAGCCACCTTGTGTGGCTTGACCATTTAACCTGCAGAGATGCATCGTTGGGATTGATCACGGTGCTTCAAGGATCGACCGACGTGACCATCTCCAATTGCTATCTCTCGAATCCTGACTACAATACGTTGTTGGGGGCATCCGACCAAGACACAATTGATCAGATACTTAGAGTTACAGTGTACAGGAATTGGTTCGATTCATCCACACAAAGAATGCCGCATTGCAGGTACAACCTCTTCTTCCTAATTGTCTGATTATTGCTTTGGTTAAAATGCTGCTGCAATTGCTTCTGCCTAGCTAGCTAGCTTGCAGTCCTGGCTTGATTACAATTACATTCTGTGGGTTTAGGTGGGGTTTTTGCCACGTGGCAAACAATTACTATAGAGATTGGTATTACTACGCGATAGGTGGGAGGGTGCACGCAAAGGTGCTTTCAGAACGAAATGTGTTTGAGCCAGGGAGAAGGAAGGAGGTGACGCCATGGCACACCGAGTTGTCCGACATTACTCCCACAATAGAGTCCTCCAAAGACCTTTTGCTCAAGGGAGCTACGTTTCATCAGTTCTTGGTGTTTGGCACGTTGAGTAATCCTCGGGACGAATTCCCCTCGTACAAGCTTCCGGTTCGGCAGACGAACTCGCTGATGAACCTAGTGATCAACTGTTCCGGGGTGCTCTTTGGATCTAAGCTAAACCATTGCTTGGCCACTCCATGAAGATAAAGATAATAATGCGGTTTTAATTTCATGTCCATTTGTTGTAATTATTTTTGGATAGAAGTAGATAAATAATTGGTAGAAATCAGTCAATCACAAATGATAGATGATTGCTAATTTCTGATTTTAAGCACAACTTTTGACCAGTTGGGTTGTATATCTAGGTCTAGGGTCTAGCTAGCTAATAAATGATTATTCCCATTTCCCAGCGACGCAAATGAAGCAATGTAACTTTCTCCAATTTTATCTTAAACCCAATTCATACTGGTTCCTGCTTCCTTTTTTTTTTAAAAAAAAAAAAAAATCTTTTGGTGAACTCTGTTTTTCGGTTTTTTTTTTTTTGTTGAACTAAGTTATTGTTGTTACTGATGTTAAATTTATTCTGGTATTGATGTGGTGTGCTCGCATTTCTTCTTTCCCCTGTTGAGCACAGCTTGATGTGAGAGTGAGATGATAATAGGCTTGCTTTCACTGTTTCACAGGCATCTAGATTCTATTTAAATCCAGAACCCAGCGCTAGAGTTCCAACTTCCAACTTCCAACTTCCAACTGTCCACCTTGTGGATCGGGGCGTGGTTTCTGATTAAACATTTGTAACCGTCTGTTTTGACTTTTGAGGCTGATCCAAAGCTGGGTCAAAGTCAAAATCGGATTTCCTTACCACTATTCCCTACCCACACTCTACCCGCTTTAAATTGCACCCATTGCAGTGTATTGTGGGTAGGGCGCAGGTAGAGAAAGTGAATAGAAAATCTGGATTCGGTTAAGGCGCAAGTAGATCTGGCAATTGGATTGGGTGGGTCGGGTTCATTTGGGTCTAGACAGTTCAGATTGATTTTGGGTCGGGTTGAATTTTGGGTTGGGTTATCAAATGCTAGACCCTAACCCTAAATTTTCAGGTAAGGGTTGAGTCATGGGTCAATTTGGGTCATCCCAAAAAATAACTGAAATTTAAAAAAAATAAAAAAAAACTACATGAAAAATGCCAAAATTAAATGAATTAACCTTAAAATTCTAAATATAAAATAAAAAAACTTGAACATTTAACAATTTAAAGAGTAAAGACTTAAAGAGTGGAAACTTCTAACAATGCATAAATAGTCTCAATTAGACTTGACAATCGGGTTAGTGGGTTGACCCATGACCCAACCCAACCCAACCCGGTTTTTTTCCGAGTTAGGTCAGGTCGGCTCATTCTTACATTCAGGTAGCTAAGTATGAGACCCTAACCCTGTTTTTTCAGATTGGGTTGGGTCGGATTCACGGGTTGGGTCGACTTTTTGCCAGGTCTAATTGCAAGGTTTAGAAAAAGGACTTCAGATCTCTTGCTCACGTCTACTAACAACACACTACCCCCGTGAATTGGGAACATCTCCCCTACATAATACTATATAGGAGGATGAAATGTTCTTCATGTGTGGTTGTGATGTTATGTGGGTAGACGTGGGCAAAGTTTGTGTGGGTAGGAGATCTAGACTCAAGAAAAAGAAAATCCAAAGGGTAGTGAGATATCAAGGTTCATAGTATTGGAAACGCTAAGTGTATCGGAAAGACAATTTTAAGAGACGTATCGGAATACAGTTTGGATATGCATGTGTATAAAAAAAAAAAAAAAACTAAGGCTCAGTTTGGAAGGAGTATAAATACAAATATGTACAGTGCAAATACATACAAAATACAATGTTTTGCACTCTACAAATTTGCATTTGTACTCCTTCCAAATTGAGCCTAAGATACATATAGATACGCTTTGAAACACTATAAATACTTTTTTAATAAATCATAAAAATACATCAACAACACTAAATATAAGACCTCAATGAGGTGTATATACATTGAATTAATATATTTTAATGGTTTTATGGAAAAATATATTGTAGTTAATTATAATTTGATTAAAAATCCTATGCTTAACCATAATTTATAAATTATAATTCTTAAGTTTTAATTTTTTATGGGATGGGAAAAACCCAACTCTCCTATCTAACCGTAAAACATGCATTGGCACAAGTTCTATGTGAAAATATAATTAATAATTATTTATTATTTATTTCAAAAATTATAAAAAATAAATAAACATTATATAATATATTCAAAAAATAGTTCTTAAAGAAGAAAATTCAATTTCTTTGTGGATATTAGATCATCCATAGAATTATAATATATTCAATGATCGTGATCAAATGATAAAATATAATTAATTAATTAATTAATTTTTAATTCTAAAAATATAAAAATAAAAACAAAATTATTAAAGAAAAAATTTCAATTGGTCATTTGGGTATAATAAATCATCCATAGAATTATAGTATATTCAATTGTTGTGATCAAATGATAAAATAAAATTAATTATTATTTACTTTTTAATTCTAAAAATATAAAAAGTAAAATAATATTAAAGAAAGAAAATTTAATTGATTTATGGATATGATAGATAAATCCATAGATTTAAAACATATTTAGTCTTTATAGGTAGAGAAAAATTACATTTTCAAATTTTTGTTAATTTATATTTTTCCCAAATATCTTCAGGAAATTTCCATAAATCTATTGATAACACAAAAAAAGTGATTTTGAATGTAAGAAATGTAGATCAACATAAATTTAAATATTCAAGAAAAAAATCATAAGATGTTATAGAAAATTGAAAAAAATTACCTATTTTCGCCATATTTTTTTTCAAAATTTGAAAAATCTTAAAAAAAGGTTAACGATTTACACTTTTTTCTTGCAAACTTTTACAAATCTAACACCCTAGGAATGAAGTTTAGAGTTTTAAAGTCATTTGGGGGGGTGAAAAAATGCTTATTTCGGGGAAAAGAAGCTTGCTTTCTCCCTTCATTTTTTTTTAAAGTTTTTGATCGTATCTTTTTCGTTGATATGCCCCTGATATGGGTCTGATACACATGAAAAAAGATGTAACGTCCGATTTCCATGCCTATCTCGTATCTGTTTTTCAAAGATACGATACGATATGGCGATATGCCCCATATTGAAYGTATTGTATCGAAATTTTAAACCTTGTGGGATATAAAACTGCAAATGGATGTGATTGAATCAGATATAGGTAAACCCAAATTTGATTTGTTTATATTTGAATCAAAATGAAATCTTATCCATGCCTCCATGGGATTTATATCGGATTACAATCAAATTTGGATTATAATTTGATATCGATTAGTGAATTGTATAAATAAATTAAACTAAAAATGGATCTATGACAGATTAGTAAAAACACAAAATTTAAATCATCTTGACTAATAGATACAAAAATAAATTTCAAATATATATGTATGAGTATTATATTTAAATTAAATCAACTTGGATTTTGTAGTGGAGAGATCATATTTGATGAAACTATAAACGAATCAAATTATTCGGATCAGCCTTGATAGGATCAAATTCAAATTTGGACAATTGGGTAACGTTTGCAGACTCGGGGGATTTTGTTATTATGAGTTGACACGGGCAACAGAGTGCACAATAGCTAACTGTACATTGAACAAGTAACAGGGAAATCTAAGTTGAGGATTAGCCTAGCCTAAGAAGATGCAACACACAGTGAATACATACACACCAACACATCCATCCTTACAAAATACATATATTTTCGCATACATGAGTCATCAKTCTTCCCCCATCTACTCTGCCAATCCTCAACCAATATCCCATCAACTCTCACTAGGTATTTACATGGCAACCACTACACAATGCTTTTCCACCGACAATCCCCAGACTGATTGGGTTTAAAAAAGGTCAGGCCTTTCTACTTGATGGCTGTAAGGACTGCTGAACTTTCTACCTGCAACATTATATCCAAGAATTCATCAAATTACATTATATGGGCTGGTGGTCTATCATCATCAAATGATCAATGAGGTTGATGAACAGTGAATTAAGTAAAATCATGGTTCCCTTGTTTGAGGGGTGAGTAGTTTAAATTGAAAGGATCATGTTTAATTAATTTGTATACCATGAATTTTGCACCCCAAATCTCTTCGTCGGCAGCAGGAACGGCGGTGATCTTGTGCTTAGGGTTCTCGAAGCTTTTGATCTCTCCAACAGCAGTAGAAAAGAAGCATCCTGCAATATATAAAGGAATCATGCATCAAGGCCAAAATCGATCGCCATCATCGATTAAAAAAGAGAAACCAGAAGCTAGCTAAGCACTGAATCAACTGAAAATAAGAAGAGATGGTTAATTAATTAACCTTGAGGGAAAGATGCGAGAGACTTGCCACAGGCGCCTTTGAGTAGATCGGCATCATCAGCAAAGGCAACGTACCCATCTGCTGTGATCCCCCAGTAGAGAGGAACCTTGCCGAATTGGTCCTGTCACATACATACATACATACAAACCCACACCATGCATCCCAAAATTAATTAATAAATGTTAGTCAAAAAAGAAATTAAGAAATGAAGCAGCGAACGTCCACTTCATGATATATATTTGTTAATTTGTTGTGTGGTTGCTGGTAGCAAATGCAATGGTAGGTAGGCCTCAGGCAACTCTCGGCCTCAGAAGAGAAGAGAAGGGACTTACTGAAGCGACGAATAAGGTGGAGGTAGACTTGTCAAAGAGGACAAACGCAAAATTCCCACAGAGGTGTCCCACCACATGGCTTGGAGGGTATGGGGCTCGATCACGTAGAGCCTTGTAAGCCTCGATCACCAGCACCACCTCATTTGCGGATTTGGCAAGGCCATACTGTTGCCTCAAACTCCCCAGATTATCCAGCATCCCCTCAAACAAGCAGAATATCTCCTCCTTCGCAGCAAATGATCTGTGTTCACTCCAACACGTACAACAAATTAATTATTAGCTAAATAATATATTGAATTCATTTATTCAGGCCTAGCTAGCTAGCTAATTAGGCCTTACTTGGACCAAAAGATAGAAGCCCATCGATGTGCTGGACCTGGAAGGGGCTTAATTAATTGCTTAATCCTCTAAAAATCTCTAATCTAGTCAAACGCCCTGCATGGCCCAGGTTTATCCTGCTTGGACTCATCTAGAAAATTATCTGGACAATACAGGGGTGAGGGAGGGGTGGACCGTCACCTCCCTTGGGCCTTGACTCAGGACCTGTCCATTGCTCCCAATTCCCAAATGACAATGCATTTATGGATCAGAATCTTCTTTAATTTACACGAGATCGAGACGCTTATTGTCTTGCCAATGGCAACCATAGCATAGATTGGCATCGCTCAGGACAGGGCCTGAGTCGATCATGTGAAACTTGGAAATTCTAACTAATGACATCTCTACCGTCATTTAGATTGTTTCTCAGCTTCCCGATTCCTGAATAATAGGAAAAGCTTTCAACTATTACCAACCGATGAGTTCAGTTACTTTACCCAGTCCCAACCAAGGGGCCAAACTATATATTAACCCTTTTCGGTTTATATGGGAGGAGGACAAGTTCTGGGGATGATGATGATGATGAATTTTCACCTTCCCCAACTGTAGAGCCTCTGCTACACCCGTTTTCGCTACCTAGAAGACCTCTTTTTTCTCAAACATCAACCCGATTCACCGATCTAAACCATCTGATTTGCAGGATTTACCCAGTACCACTTGATCAGACGGCTAAGATCATCCGATCGTGATTATTTTTACTTTTGGAATAGTGATCATCTCCGAGTGAAAATATGTAACGGAGGGAGGGGCGTTAAGTCAAGACTTAAGAGGGCTTGGCTAGTTTGTTTAGACTTTTTACCTGGGCTGTAACGCCGACTCGTTGTGGTGTGTGTAAGCCAAGTGAACATGGTCCCCGACCTGTATGGACACAGCGGAGGGGTTATTCTCGAGGAACCGATTCACCAAGGCCGTCGACGTTATCTTCGGCGATGGCGTCCGGCAGCCGGCTGCCACCAGCTCATCCGGAGGCGTTACGATAGCGCTGCTGAAGATACCCAACATACTTTCTCTCTCTCTCTCCGCTAGAAAATAGAAATGTAAAGGAGACTTCTCAAACATGGGAGAGGAGGGGAAGATGGAGGCTTGCATTTATAGCAAAGTAGCCTAGCCGGGGTATTATCGGCAATCCATGAAGTTGAAAGGATAAATCGGACAAAATACGAGGACATGTGGACCCACTGGCACTGGCACTGGCACTGGCAGGCGATAGTTCTCGAGACCGGATCTGCTCCTCACACCCGGCGCCTCACACGCACATCTTATGCATTGAGAACCTCTCCCGTATTTATTTATCATTATTCATATGAGATGTTTCCGTGGATATGAATGTGAGGCGCCCATTTGTGAGGAGCAGATCCCGTCACATAGTTCTCGTGTATAAAAAATCACACCTTTAAAGTTTGAGTTATGAAGTATGATATGACCCACACAGTCCGAATTCCGAAACCAGGCTCCGATTACGAAATTACCGTGGCCGGGTCTTTTTGTCGAGACGAGATCTGCTCCTCACAAATGGGCGCCCCATAGGAACATCGGAGCCATGTCCTCCGTTAGATTTAACGAACGACAATTTTATCTGGTAACTGAAATCAAGGCACACCGCAGACGTGCGTGTCATACACATCCCGAGCTCTAACTCCAATTAATCTAATGAATGAACGGTAAAATTACGGGGTGGGAGCTGAAAGGCTTGTAAAACCGTCAGATTCAAAAGGTGATTACTGATTACATTCACGTAAAAGGTCGTAGACTCTACTAGACTGTATTGTGCGTTTTTTTTGTGTGTGTAATATAAAGTCAACGTCAAGGTTTCAAAAATCAAACCGGAAACGGAATGGCCACTGTTTTCCAGTTCAACGGTTCAATTGTGCAGGTCAAACGATTTGACCTGTGACATCATAAATAAAATAAAAACAAAAAATATCATAAAAATTAAATAAATATAAGGAAAAAAATGCAGAAAAAACATCATATGGAAAACTAAAAATATATAAGTATAAAAAATAAAATGCAGTAAATACAAAAAAAAAAACATAGATGAACTTGATACCATCTCTGCATGTAAATGAGCCTATTTAACCCCTTATCCCGAAGAAATGAAATGTCCAACAAAAATGGAAATTATTCATGAATTTCATTCTTTTGATATTCTTTACAAATAAAAAATATTGGGTATATGTATACCTTCATTGTTGCCGTTAATGGTGGTGCCACAGTCACAGAGAGAGGAGAATGAAACCATCGGTGAATGCTATTGTGGTTTGGTCACGGGTGATTAAAACCACAGGTGCAACTAAAGACTCGCCAATACAGGAGAAAAAAAAATCCAAAAACTAAGAAAGGAAGCACCTTTGTAAGTCGTTGTTGCAAAACTGCCAATCATCGTAGGTTGCTTTAGGTTGTCTTAGGCCTTCGGATGTCATCGGAGGTCAAAGCAAGTGAAATGAGAGAAATAGAGAAAGAAGGAAAATGGTATTTTTGTTCGAAAAAACCCTAGCCACAATTCAATTTGGGGCTAAAAGTGAATTTGTTATTATTTTTTAAAATTTAAAATTTAAACCATGAACTACTACTCGGGTTAAATGGTTTAACTGTTCGACCACTTGGGTCAATGGTTCTTTGACCATTTGAATGCTTCTTTTTCAAAGTTAACGATCCAGAACAAAGTCAAACCTAAAGACTTGATTGATTMTCGGGTTGAACGCCCAACCATCTGGTCCAATCCGATTTTCAAAACCTTGGTCCATGGCAATATTGCATTTTTGTTTGAAATTTGGTAAAAAAAAAAGAGGTCCACAATGTTAAAATATAAAAACATTTTTTTTCCAACTTTTTTTTTCATTATTAAAAAATATACCAATAAACCGGTATCATAAAAATAGTAAGCAATCAACTGTTAATAAAATCCAAGGGGTGTTTTGTCAATTGGTATTTATTAAAATCCAAGGGGTGTTTTGATTGGTCCAAGCTGTCGTTCTTTCAGTATCATGTATTAATCCCGCCTAATTGATTTCCACCAGATCTTTTGATACCAGTTGATTGGTATGATAGTCCCGATCTTAACAACAAATTAAAATTCAAGGACGGACAGATTTGGTTGGTCAAAGCTCTTTCATTGTCATACCTTTCAAAGCATCATACGTTATAGTAATGTCCATATACTACGAGTTTTCCGATCTTGTGCCCACACAAATTCTGTTCATGTCTACCCACATGACATTACCGTCGCATATAAAAAATATCTCATCTTCGTACATAGTTTTATCGTTCCAGTATAGATACAAATTTGGGAGGGGTAAGGGTTTTAGTGTGGTGCGTACGTAACACTAAATAAACTATATGATGATATTAAATAAATGATTTTAATGAGGGCATGTGCGTGATTGCGGTTAGATGCAGGACCATATATATATATCTAACAATGCTCACACATTTCCTCTAATCAGAGACAGAGTCTCGGACCCAAATACCTCCAACGTTTGAAAAATAATAATAGTAGTAACAGAATTTAAATGTCAAACAATAAATATTATCAAACGCCACTTAATTTGTTTACCTCCTTGTCATCCACGCCATTAAAAATCTGACAACCATGGTATGGCGAATGGGACAAGAGATGTATTGTTCCATCATCATATATGATCACTGCTTTTATGGTACTGCTAATTTATTATCATTATTATAGAATTCCTTTCTAAATTGAAGAATCTGGTATATTTTTGTTGTGTAATAATAAGGATGGTGATACACACAACCGCAGACATCTATCACCGCAAATCCAGAAGCTCCTGTGTGGGATCTGGCTTATTATGTTTTTCTTTTTTGGGTAATCCCATCTCCTTTATGTCACTCGCATCCCACCATGAGGATATCGGTCGGTGTCGGGCCCCCACCTTTATTTTTTCCTCTTTACCTAATTATCTTTTGATAATGGCGCCTCTATACCCTTTCTCAGTGCTGAAAATGAAAAGCACACATTCCTAATTTCAGGTTTCAGCCACTCCCAAGTCCTAACTTTGATGAAGTTGGTAATTAGGTCTTAATTACAATATTCCACATGCATGGAGTGGTCGGATCCGGATCCCAGTCGAACTCTGAAACGTACTGTCCACCCCACAACAACCCTTTTACATGCTAGCACCATCTCTCCTCAATTCTGATTCTGGGGCTATTTTAATATATATACATATTGTTAATTAAGGTTGTGTTTGGTTGCATTAGTGCAAATTTTTATTTGCATAAATATAAATGTATAGGAATGCAAATGTAAAATATATAATGCAAATTCTTGTTAAATCATTTTCACTTTTATAATTTTTCATCGGTACAAATTTATTTGCATTGCAACCAAATACAGCCTTCAAAATGGTATTAAAGTTAATTTTAGTGGGTTATATTCCCGGCTCTCCACCATAGTGGTCCCTCACTCTGACTGCAGGCCAGGCACCCGACCAGACCAGCCAATAGGGAAATTATTTTACATTGTGGTGTGACTGCTTGGTTGAAAATTTCTAACTTGATGGGATGAAAAAGCTCTTTTGATCTGGGTTCAATTATTACAGACGGGTCCAACAGGGTAACCTTTTAAAAAATCTTAAAACTATGGGTGAAACCCGGTTTCCTTCGGTGTTCTGTTCTGATAGTAACGTGAGCCTGAACAATAACCGAGCCACCCACAAGGACAAGGTCAAGGACCCAGGTGGCAGCATTTCGTATATGGTAAATCCTAAATCTATCGTACATATCAAATTATGCTTAAGAAATTCAATATAATAAAGTGGAATTCCAATTCATATCAAAGAAGGAATAAAATACAGAATAAACAAAGGAAAAACAACTTTTTATTGCAATTGCTATTGTTATTATTATTATATTAAAAATTATAAAACTGGAAAAGGAACATTTGATTATTTGAATAATAGAGGCAAGATCCGAAACGCAAAAGATATTTATTTGTTAGTATGGATTATAGAACTCGAGAACTCCCCCAGCCCTATGTGATGTGATATGGCAGTCCAAATGGATCCACGTGTTCAACTAACTTTGCCTTTTCTTAATTTACAGCCCACTAGCCCTGCCATTTTATGGAAAAGAAGATTGTTCCTTGTTCCTTCTATGTCGATTGAAGCAACAGTCACACAGTGGGACCCTGTAGTTGTGTTTGGATTAGCCACGTCATTACTCCATGTGGCCAACATGTAACGCATGATCAAGGGCATTGCATTGAATGGAGGGAAAAGTGAAAAGTGGAAAGTGGGGCCTTTTAATGTGTATCCCAAATAGTAGCAAGTATCACCCTAGTGGGGTGAATGGAAATTTGAAGAAAGAATCCAAAGAGCAACGAAAAAAACAACTAAGAGATGAAGTGCGTGATGATGCAATGGATAAGTGAAGGCGGAATAAAGAAAAAAGAATGGTGTGATGACTGACGACGTACGCCCGCGGTATTGGGTATTACTGGCTTACTGTCCAATAATCCAAGCCGAGAGGACCGAGGAGTGGGAGATGGACACAGAGACATAGTGGATATGGAATCTTTGATTCTTTTTCCTTGTCGATCGAATTAATTCACTCTTCGGGTATACATAATTAAAGAATACGATGATCAATCAATTCATCTCTCAGGAGTGATAGAGAAGAATAGATGCGATGGTATCAGTAGTCTCAGTATTAATGCATGGAATCCTATGAGAGTGAGGGAGGAGTGGAATATCATTTGAAATAGATACTCTATGTTACGAAAACAAGGAATGTCCATGTCCATGGGGCGCGGCCTGATCAAGTCGAGTCAGGGGGGTGGTCTATATTTAATTAATGCCTGCAAACAGCAACCCTTTTGGGATAGATTTCTATTTCTATTTCTATTTTCTAGTGAAAAAGGGGGGAAAATATAGAATGGTACTTGCTAGTTGGTGGGCCCCCAAAACTGACATTGTCGCTTGTGAGTGGATCCAATCCAACCAACTACTGAATTCTCCGACGACGAGGGGATAAAAGCATTTGTATAATAAAGAATGCATCTGGCCATCTTGGGTCCATGGGTCACAGTGGCAACTCACAAGTCACACCCACTGCAACCCAAAGATTGGAATTTTGTAGCCGATACTACCTTTTTGCGCAGTTTGACCTCGACCTTGACACAAAAGAAAGCCACTTGAACATTCAATCACCCATTTGGTCAATTGGGTGCTTGATCCAACCATCTTTTAAAATCTAGCAGTTGGGAATTGGGATTGGGATTGGGATTGGAGCACAATGGATAGAAAACACCCAGTTCAAAAGCCCAACCCAAAGTTGAAAAATATGTGGAGCTCATCAATAATTAGGTACCTACCACTCTGTCCCGGGCAGCAGAAGACAGTGCAATGGTATATATACTCTCTTTCATTCACGCCCTAATGGATTCTTTAAAAGCTAACATCTCAATCAGCTTGCCATTTTCATTTTCCACGAATCTTAAAAATATAAAAATACTTCAATTTGTATACATAACAAATTAAACGAAATTAAAACTGGTGAAGATTCAATCGAGAGCCACATTTTTTTTATAAGTCTAGTTGTGAGTTGTGGCCATGGAGAGGAGAGGCCCAGTCCGAAGAGAATGATGTCCACATTCCACTGGCCCAGGACGTGTGGTTCTCCAAGGTGTATGGAAGAATCTCTTGTTATTGATTGGAGACCGGCACCTTTTTATTGCACCATTTATTTATGGTGTGAGTCTTACTTTGATTTGGTAATTGGTAATTGGTATGGCTATAATCTTATTCCATTTCCATATCCTTGCACATATTTTAACCATTTTTGTTCTATTCTGGTGGGTCATAGATATTTCAAGACTTGAGAATAAAGATAATGATACATACAGAAAAGATGGCCATATATAAATACACTCATAGCCAAGGTTAATAAGTACTTATTTTGAATAAACACTTATTTTGGACTAGATCATATCAATAAGCACTTATTTGCATTTAAGAAATAAGTCGAAATAAAGTGCTTATTTTCTTTTCGGTCTGTTTGGTCTGTCATGTCATTTTGAAAATGCCTACACTATCCCTATTTGAAATAAGTAATTTTTCACCAAACACTCATAAACGTTTATTAGAGTAAGCACTTATTATTTATTTATTTTTCAAGTAAGAACTCCCAAAGTTAATCTTACTAAGATTAAAAGTCAACTCAAACTGGTCTGATCCATGGGCCATTCCTCCTCACAGAGGGTCATGAAGGGAGTAGATTAGAGAACCGTCAACTTCAGATAAACCATGAATGGAATAGGTTTGAGTGCTTGTGGTTCAGAAAAACCATGGCCACCGACTGATGTCATCATGTCACTGTCTAATCCTATGAGTTGTGTGACATTGTAGGGCTTTGGCAGCACTTGATTTCATGATCATAAAACAAAATTAGGGAAAATGGATATCACCTTCACCATGCACTCAAGCCCCCAAACACTGTTCAACTGTGGCCCAAATTAAGTGGCATAGGTGGAATTGGATTGTGTTACTGTGCTTGGTACAGATTAAGACAGACCAATACATTGGATTATTGAGAATTTTATTTAATTGGTCAATGATCCAAAATACCTCTTCCCCATCCTTTGTTCATTGGAAAAAAAAAGTCCAAAGCCCAAAAAACCTTGCTATACGTGCAGTGCAAAATAAGCACATTTTTGTATGCTAATAGGAAGAATGGCCTAAAAGTTTGGAAAAAAAACGAATTATATGTTGATTATTATCATGGTCAAGGTCTTGCTCAATTCTATTATTTAAAAGGGAAAATCTATGATGTGAGAAAGATATGGTATCGAAGAGTTTTTGATCAATTGCGTAAAAAAAAATGAGTTTTGACCAATCAAAACCCACCCATGAATTTTGATAAATAACCCCTGATTGGTTATYATGTTTATGATACCAGTTGACTGGCCAAAAAATTTTCAGTATCATATATTTCCTATATTATAATCCAACCCTATTTAAAAATAAGCCAAGTTACAAGTTATGGGGCCGCAGAACCCAATTTGAATGCCCAGGCCCAAGGCTGGATTGGGCCTAGATTCTAGGCTTTATGTGTGGCTGGGCCAGGCCCTATCCCGGCTTGTATGAGGAGGACCCTTCTACTAGGGGCAAGCCTTGGCCCAGCTTGGCCTAGCCCGGCCCATGGGTTTGAATTCAAATTCGGATAAACGTCCGTTTGCAGCCGAGCACATTTGATGCCCAGGAACACACGACGACTAGAAGTGTGCTGTTTTTCTGAATCTCCTAGCTCCACTGTTTTTTTCTAAGCCAAGTCCTAGTCTCGTARACTTGTAGAGAAGATCTTTCAAATCCTCTTTTACTACTCGTTTCCACTTCCACATTTATCCAAACATTACCTTATCAGAAAATAAATGGAGACCTGGGCTGACAAACCTGCTCACCAACTAAAAGTTCTCATGCGCTTTTCATTCAAAAAAACCATTAATTTCATTTCAGGAATCATGTCTAAGCTGTGAGATACTGAAATTTTGTATTCCTGACTTCCTGTATACAAGTCTGTCAATTTATATCATGGGCTATATGTTTGTATGTTTGGCAGGTGGAGTGGCATTGGAGGAAGAAGGGGATGAGGAAGGTGGATGCTGAAGACGTAATACTTTAAAAAGGAGGGCCCCTGCTACAGCTCCAACAGTTGGAGCAAAAAGATAGAGCCATAAGTCATTAAACCTCCATGAAACAACCGCAGGCCCAAACGATCTGGCTGGATTCAGCGATCCTCCTGAAACAGGCCTATACATTGAAATAGCACATCATCAAAATTCAAAAACAAATGTTTGTATCACCGGGCCATAATATGCCATAGTTAACATTATATTGATGCTGGTACTGGTTTCAGTCTTGTTACTGTTGAAGCTCTTCACCCCATTATCATTCCTTTATTCTTTTTTCTAATTTCTGTACACAAACAAATATACATCAATCTCCACTCGACCTACCCTGTAATCAAAACAGCCAGTGCAATTGCTATCCCAACTACAAAACCAGAGGCCTGGGCTACCTGCAAAAGTTGCAAAACCAAATTCTAGATTCAATTGTTAAAATCCTTAAAAGAGGTACCACATGGACTTTCGGCCTTCCAGATGCACAATTTGCACTCTTTTTTTTCTCATTTACACCTATGGAGTGTAAATTTTGCATCCCAAAAGCTTGTCCAAAATTTTCACTGCCTTTCTCCTACGTTCTCTCGCTCATGAAAGGTGGGGAGCACATTATTAATTTTCCTATACTCTTACTAAAAACACCCTTCCAACACGTTCCAATATCCAATTTAGTATTACTGATTTTCTTCAAGTTACCCCTGTTTGAGTAAATAATGAGTTCACATTGGCACCCCACAGGGCGTGCCCCATAGCACCCCTCAGCACATCCAACATCTCCCAATGACAAGTATACGAGATGTTTACAATGCATGCTGAGATGTGCATGTGGGACGCTGATATGATCTCGTAAATAATACATTGGTTGGAAATCCTATCCTTTTGCTTCACCATCTACAATGGATAACTAATGACTTATGGGAGTGTTCTGAATGTTTTTGTTTTCATTTATTTCTGAAATTGTCACAAGGCAAGTTGATTTTGTTTCAAGAAACAATACATGTTTTTGAAATCATCGAAATAATGGTTTTTAAAACAAAAATAAATTTTGTAATATTTATGGAATATGTTATTAAATAACCAGATGAAAACACATTCTTTACCCATAAATTCAAAAACGCCTTTTTTGAAACAAAAACACACACACACGAACAAATAACATGTTTTATGTGTTTTTTTTTTTTCAAGAATCAATTTGTTTTCAAACCATTTGGTTTTGTTTTGCTTTTGGAACTCACGACACTAGAAACAATTCACAATATTACTCCCCCTTCTGTATAAGAAAAAGGAAGAAAAAAAAAAGGTTATGAGGCCCTCTACTTGGAAGGGTTCAACTAGTTGCGCTTTATCAAGTGGAGGCAATCTTTTTCTAAGGCAATATTAATATTAGCAATGGTAGAGAAATGCATCAGCAGTTCAGCACCAAACAAGATGGTCATGTATTATCTTACAGCATGAGCTTGGTGACAAAGTGATGATGCTAGAAACAGGGTAATGGAGGTGGCCATGAGCTCCGCCCAGAAGGCTGTAGCACGGCTTTGAAGTGGTCTCGTGGTTAGTATATCTGCCTTGATGCCATACACAGACTCTCCCACATATGTTGCAAACACAGATCCCACCATTTGTGCTGATATGTAGAGGGGAACCTACATTATCATGGTGAAAACATTGTTATTTGGCTCAACTAAAGAGGAATGCATGTAATTGTAGGCTCAGTTTGAAAGGAGCACAGATACATATATATGTACAGTGCAAATACATACAAAATACCAAACCGAGCATTGGGGTTAATTAAGGGTCCATTTGGTCTGTAGTTGAATCGGAATTAAGGTTCCGTTTGGTTCGTGGGAATAGGGGTTTGGAATCGGAATTGGAATGGACTATTCTGATTTCAACTGTTTGGTTGGGCGGAATTGAAATTCCATTCCCATTCCTGCTGGAATGGCATTCCCCCATTTGAGGGAATGGCCATTCCTTGCCCTTCCCTTAAGAATGAAACCCCATTCCTGCTGATTAATTTTCATTCTCATTCTTATTCCTGTCTGAACCAAATAGTTTATGGGAATGGACCATTCCGATTCTGATTCCGGCTGAACCAAACTGACCCTAAAATCCTTTAGAATTTGAACAAAATGGTCTATTCCCATAGTCTGTTTGGTTCAGGCAGGAATGAGAATGAAAATTGTAATCAGTAGGAATTAATTGGATTTGATTCCCAAGAGAGGGGCAGRGAATGGCCATTCTCTCAAATGGAGGAATGTCATTTCAGCAGGAATGGGAATGGGATTCTGATTCCATCCAACCAAACAGTTTAAATTGGAATAGCCCATTCCAATTCCGATTCCAGACCCCTATTCCTGCAAACCAAACGGGCCTAAGAGTTTCTCTCAACTAAGCTCTGACTTGGTTAAATTAATGGTTTGGCTCAATAGAAATAAACAGGACGAGTGTGTTCACTACCTTGGACCATGGAAAATGACCTACTGTTGCAAAAGCAATTGTAACAGAGGGGTTAAGGTGGCCCCCCGAGATGGGTCCAACACAGAACATCAAAATAGTAACTGATAAACCACCTGTGGCTGCGTATTCCAATAGACCCATATCACCTTTCGTCAACTCTCTGCCTGCTATGATCCCACAGACGCAGAACATCAAAATGAAAGTCCCTATCATCTCTGCTAAAACCTATGAACCCAAATGCATCCATTTAACACAGATAAACAAGTGAGATGGGAACAAAAAATAATGGTCTCTCCAGGTCTAATCTAGTCTTACCATGCGAATGGAATTTAGATTTGTCCTCCACCATGGAAAGCAGTGATCACTTGTACGTGCATCTCCACTACTACTTGTGATTGTATGGGCTCCACTCTCAGGGTCACCTTGGGATTGTTTGGTTGGATGTGCCTCATTTGAGTAGACAGAGGGAGATGGTTCCTTCACTAAGGGCTTCATAATTGAACTTCTCTTACACAGAATCTAACTTGGACAACTGGTTGAAAGCTGCTTCGAACTGAAAGTTATGCCTTAAGGATCCTTCCAATAAGAAAGTTCCAAGAATAAGCATAATATTAAAAAGAAAAAACCTTCAACCCTCAGAAACGTCATGGGAGATTTGTTTGTATTAAACACAGTTTCGTTTGTTGAGGCAAAGAAGTGTGAATGGTTATTACCTGCTGCCACACGATCCTCGTGTTGCTCCAACCTAGAAATTAGCCTTTCATGCTTCTCTGGTGCTTTATCTCAAGATTAACCATTTTCTATCAATAAAGTCTTTAAATCCCAAGTTCGGTTAAACCAGATGCTAGCTACTAGTACACAAGCCCAATTCAATTCAGTGCTTCATGGCACCATCGATCCGATGAAACCAGGTCCACTCCTAAGATCTTGTTCAATTTTGAATGTCAATGACAAATTTGGGTCTACCTAGCTATCATCCATTTGCAGCACTATTATTCTTCATGTTTCCATTAATACCCCATCAAATTAAATTGCCCCGATGTGGTGTGCCCMAATTATTTTTGTGTCAAAAGTCAAATCATTTTTAATGGAGACATAGCATCATATTCGGAAGTAAAATCAATGGATAAAATAAAAATAAAAAATTATAAATTCTAATAATTATTATCATAATTAATATCGCTATAAACATTCAAAAGGTTAAAAACCCACTCTATGCACCTATATCCACCTATAAATTGGCATCAATTACGAGCTGCCACCTATTCCAAATGTATTTTGAGCCTACAAATTCTGACCCTGGGCTGAATCATCATTCTCCCTAATTAATAATTGATATAAGAAAAAATATTATACCATCATGTATACTATATTGTAAATTAATCATTTAGTCTATGTTGGACCATTTGTTCTATCCTATTAAACTTTTAAAGCCTTTTTTTCTGGAATTTATGCCTAGAGAGTATATTAGAGTGAGGAGTAGGTTTATAAGTATTTTTCTTATTATGATCATTATGCAAGATTGTCTGTGCTCTCTAACTCCAATGTTAGAACTTAGAAGACTGTTTTTCATTTCAATCTCAACCAACCTTAACCTCTCACAGTTTCTTACTTAATCCATACTTGTTAGTACTATTATTATAATATTTTCTATGAGAAGACTTGGATAAAAAACTGCCAATAAAGTTATAACTTAGGTAAAAATATGCAAGACAACCTTGTTTTAATATATAGATATAGATTGAGATTTAATGGGATGAGGAAAAAACTAGTGGGGTGGAGGGTGGGGGGGGAGAATGATCTTATTGGAGAGAGTAATAATAGTTTTTATTAAAAACATTTTAGACTATTTTTATTTTGACTTCTTATATTTTTATGATTTAATTTAAAAATAACTAACTACATATATGAGAAATAAGAGGAGGAGGTCTGTGTGTGCTTTATAGTGAAAGGACCCCTCATCTCCCGTCTTTTCTCTTTGTAATATGGATATAAATAGGGGGTATCATCTGCGTTTTCACTTGTGCAAAGTAGTTGCTGGTGTGTTTGGATTGGGGGAGTAGAATTGGATTTGAAATCCATTCTTAGTTCGGTGCAAATGCAATGACTAATTCACACATCATTTTTAATTCCACTAAATTGTGCCAAAAGATGCACCCAATGATGAAGTTTAGAGATTTATGCAATTGATACTTCTCCACCCAAATTTACCCTTATTCAAGCACACCAAGATGGGGGCAGAACTCCAAATTAAAAAGCTTTAACTTCAAAGAAAATGAACCTCTGTATCAATGTTTTCAACTTGCCATTGACCTGGTTGGTCAAATTGTCGCCTGATTAGGATTTTGGGTCCAATTTAGTAAAGACCCGTCAAACGGTCAAAAATCGTTGATTTGGTCAAGAATCATTTGACCTGATCGGTTCAACCGTTGACCCATTCGACCCAATGACCAGATCGTGGATTGCACACACACACACATACATACGATGATGTGGCACAGTCTGAACTGTTCGACTCGGCTGGTCAAACTGGTGACCCGTGATCTGGAGACAAAAACAGTTTGACTTCTGGATCGGTTTTTCAAACACTGCTTTGTATGGTACTAGTCAAATAGCCATATGTGATATATGCATTGCACTTGCTATGAATGTTGACAGGCAAATGGGCTACACAACAGGTCTCCTCTACAACAAGCAGGCTGGATATACAAAACTGATATGGTAAATGGAGATAGAGAAAGAAAGATAGAAAGGCAGATAGGCAAAGATGCAAGTGAATAAATGGGTTCCTCCCTTACAAGCCCATCAAAGATTATTTCATAAATGGGCCCCCCTTCTACATGAGCTTATTGAGTTTCCTAAAATGTGGAGTTTTTTATTTCTCTCTCTCTCAAAAATAAGTGGAGTGATCTTCTAAAATATTGGTGAGGTTATTCATCATTATGTAATACCATTACCATTCTTACTGGGACTGAAAACTTGATAACTGTTGAGAGAGAAGATGAAAGCGGAATGTTGAAAAGATTTTAAAGATTAAAATGTAGATCTAATTGGGGGCGTTTTAGAACGAGAATTGTTTTTCTGGTTGCCGGTTCTAAAACTAAATTAAAACAATGTGATTTGAAAATAGATTGTTTCTTAAAATAAAACATAAGAAATATGTTCTTGGTTGTTTATGTGTTTTTTGTTTTCAAAACTGAAACAAAAAACATATTTTTGGATCTGGTTTCAAAAACATGTTTTTATTTGATCATTCAACATCATGTTCCATAAAACATATAATTTTTATACCACAAAATTTGTTTTGGTTTTAAAAACATGTATTGTTTTTTGAAACGAAATCAATTTGTTTTTCCATTTAAAAATGAAAACAGAGTTCAAAAAAATGTTTTTTTTGCTGATTTGTCAATTCCAAAAAAAATAAAAACATTGATGTTGTAGAAGGCCCCTTAATTACTGAATAATGAATTACCTTCTAAATACACGTTTTCCATTAGTTGATCAACTTGCTCCAATCATCTAAACTATTGTTAATTTGTTATTGTTGCTTTTTATTTGCCACTCTTTCCTCTTACTCTATAGGCTTCATTTCATGGTTTTCAAAATCAGACTGCATCGGACGGTCGGACCGGAAAAACTGGGAATCAGTCAGCTGACTGGTTTCATTTTTCTCTAAAATCGGGATATTTCAAAAAACCATTGATTTTGATCAATAAATCGCTGACCCAAGCAATTAACTATTCGAATCGTTCAAACAATTTTGACCGATTTTTATTTTTTTTAATTTTTTGTCAAAACGGGCTGACCGTTCGACCTGATAACCTGACCCTGACCGATTCGGTCTCCGGGTCGGTTTTAAAAGCCATGCTTCATTTAGCCGAATCTTCGCATATCTTGAAGAGATAGAGATGTATGCAGTCCAGTGACTGTGACTCAGCGAGGGAGACAACATACATCTTTTTTTTTTAATAGAGAGAGAAAGCGTATGTCAAACCAGTAACAAGAGAAAACCAGGCTGTCATTGATTTATATTAATTAGCCTTATTAAATTACAAGATTAAAAGTATTCATTTTATAACAAGGAAAACTTGAAATGAGGGCCAGGACTCAGGAGGCCCACCTCATGCCAAACGATCACCTAAGGCATTTATTCATAAGAAACCATAACACATTATATCACATACCGATTACTGACAAGAGACACCCCACTAGGCACTAGATCCAGAAATAATAAAAATATTGAACAACTCCTCCTACGCATTGGATGTGAAGTTGAAGTTGGAGCATGTGGTCTGCCTGAAGAGCAGCGAAGAGCTAAATCCCAGCCTCGACGTAGCCAGATCGAACTGAAGAAGGTTGTCTTCCAGCTGATGCCCACCTATCACGATTGAGGTCCTTGGGTTCGACCCACCATTCACGATCCCCAAACACAAGACATCGTTACTGACCTGCACCATCGAATTGGCCCCGAAGATCCTCCAGAATGTGCTCTGGTTCTGCAGCACCAGATCGATTGTTGGCACGGCCGGCCCCACTCTTGTGCTTGAGATGTTCTTTGAGCTAAAGCACACCCCAAATGGTGCAACCGCTGCCACCCTGGTGATGCCCATGGAAGAGGCCTCCTGTATGAAAGCCTCGGTGACGGCTTTGTAAATCGAGCTCTCCATCACCGTGTAGGGGTTCACGGTGCTGATTTTTGTCCCGCCCACGCCACTGTTGTCGATGGACAGCAAGGTCGAGTTCAAGGATACAGCTTTCTCGTTGATCTTGATAGATTTCACGCCAATAAAGTACTCGGTCGAGGCCTCGCCTTGGGAGAAAGCAGATGCTGTACTAACAGGGTTGAGGATGAGCGGGGTGTAGATGAGCGAGCTTGAGATGTCGATGTTAGGCAGCATGACATAGGGGCCACCACCAAAGAATATGACACCTTTGGATGTCGTGGACGACGTCAAACAGATGGCGAACTTCCTGTGGAAGCTAAACGCTGCAGCAAACTGGGAGGGCAATGCAATTCGTGTCCGACCCAGTCCGGCCATTCCGACGACGCCGCTAGCAAGGCCCTCTAAGAGGAAGGTAGGCGCACATGTGAAGAGGAAGCGCGGGACAGTCACCACCCGGCCGGGGTTTTTCCCGTCGGTGGACTGGATGGAGACAACATCTTGGGTTAGCTCTCCACTGGTGGCAGTGTTAGTCACTGTGTTGTCGGGCAATAAACCACATGTGTTGTTGTTGCAACCAGGCCTAGGAGCAGAGTTGCAATCCCCACAAGAAGTGGACTTGGCGAGCGAGCACTGGGCGGAGCCACAACGGGCAGGGAGGTAGGAAGAAGAGACGTAACCTTGGTCGCAATCAACCCATAGGAACTGGCCTCCAACATCAACAACAAGATTTATGGCAACAAGTGGTGTCCTCTGATTGAGTTGGGTGAGGTATTGGAGAGTGGAAGCATCTTTGGTGACCGGAAGAACAAGGGCTTTCGGACGGAAGGATTGTTGGGCTTGGGAGACGGAGACGAGGAAGAGAAGAAGAGAAGAGAGTATGAGGGAGGACGCCATGGGAAGTGATGTGGGTAGGTTAGAGATGGTGATGGAGGTGAGAACTACTGAGAAAGCAGTGGAAGGCCACCCCTCCTTTTATAGTTTCTCGGAGCCGCCTGCGCCAGGTCAGCCAATCCAGAGAGCTAAAGCTGGAGGCCTCAAAAATTGACCTTGACCTGAATCTGAGAACGCCATCTTGATCTTGTTGTTTTAAAATTTCGTGTATTTCCATTCATAATTTAATATGTGACAAGTGTCCATAGACTTTGGTTTTGGTAGAATATATCCTGAGTGATAGAACAACAGAGCGCTCTATATGTGTAGAGAAAAACAGAGAACCATCTCGAGAGGGAGGAGACGTGCGTGTTAGCGTGTAGGCATCAAGAATCAAAACCAAAAGTATAATAGTATATTACGCCCGTTCCCGTTCCCGGTCCTTTTCTATTCTTTTCCCTTTTGCCAAATATAAAAGTTTATGAATAAATAACGTGTTTAGCTTAAAACATGCATATAGTAATTAGTTTTGTTTTTAAATAAATAAACTTTTGTTAAAGTTACGAGTGTGTGTAAGCCATCCAATTCCAAACCCAAACCCAAACCGTGTGGAGCACCACTCTTATCCATAAAAAAGGATAACATTCAAATATTCAATGTATTGCAGTCAATAGCGCGTATATAGAATTAGAACAAAAGTTAAGGAGGGGTTCCTGCGCCGCCTGTATGGGTAGTTTTATTGAATGAATATATTATAACAAGGGTTGTGAAATTCCAAACCACCATCTTCTAACGAAAACACTTTGTTTGTTTGGTGTAAAGTCCTAGGGTATGCATTAGTTAGAGAGGTAGAGTTATTAACAAGTCATTCGGGACAGGGTGAATCAATGCCAAACTAATTTTTAATTAATTGGTCTATAAAATGGATCAGCATAATAAGGTCTGACCTAATTAGACCCCAATATACTTAACAAATATATATTTTATGGGGTTCTATTAATTATATTATAGTATTAGAGAATTAACTTATAACCAATCAGCCTATATCATAAAAGTACCAATCAATTAAGCCATATTTATCTAAATTCACAGGATGGAAATTGGAGGGGTTGATTGATTAAAGCTCWTCGGGTATTAGCATAAATTTTCCTTTCTTCATGATAATAAATGCCTTGCAACTTCATTTTTTTATAATACAACCTCATAAATGATTTATAAAATAAAATAAATGTTTTTAACTACAAAATTTATCCTTTTAGATATATAATTTTAGGTAGTATACAATTGATTCAAGTCTTAATTGATCCGGAACAACAACAACTGGTCCTAACGCAATTATTAATCAGAACATTATTATAGAATTGGGAAATATTGCCGATGTGCAACTACATGCATGCATGCCAGCGCCCTCAGTGAACTTATATGATTTTTTGCTTTCAACAGATTCCTTCTTCTCTACTTAAAATTGAGTCCGGATCTGCTGTGCACAACTCCCTACAACCGCATATCAGGAATACGTCTCTTATGATCCGGAAATATCTCCGTAGTACTGATGTACGACTGTGATGTGCCAATTCAACTCACTTAATTAGCCCAAAATCACTGGATTACTAAAAGACAGACATTCAGCCGAATCATCATCTGTTATCAAACGTCCATTGTGAAGTGTGAACGGGACAGGACTAACTTCATCAACTTCCATTCCAAGGTTGAAGGGGACTTGATCACGACGCTAATCCAAATAGTGGGCACGTAGGTGCTGCGTCAATGATTATGGCTTAATAATTAATCCAAACAGTGGGCACGTACGTCCTATGTTTGTTTCTTTACTTTTCAAGTTTCAATTTTCCACGTAGCGAATATTAGAAAATGGTTGAGTCAAGAATCAAGATTTAGAGTTCAGACCACCAACATAACGATTCATAACCACAATTTTTAGCGTAAACATATCTGATTAACACTAACGGATTTGGATAAGGTACTTACGCAGAAAAATAGCTGAACGAAAAAAGGATGGGACATGAAATATAATTAATTTGCGGATAAAAGCAGTCAAGCCTTTCTGCTCATTTTCGTTTTCATAGGGCTGCAAATAAGTCGACCAAATCCGATTCGAATCCGATACCGATACCGATCCGTTAAAAACGGATATCTCTTTTGATGCTACTAAATCGGATTGGATAAGAAAAGTCGATCCATTAATTATGAAATAGATTATATTATATAATATAATATAAATATAATTCTAATCCAATCGAATTGAAATCAGATATCTGATAATGTATTCAAATTATGACCTTGAAAATCCGATGAATCCTTATCCGATTTGGATTGGATATAATTTAATATTTGGATTTGAGCCTATTTTTGTTGAAAAAATGAAGCAAAATTTAATTTTGGTAAGTTCAGAAAATTACGTAAATTTATATTTTCAAAATTAGCTTTTAGATAAGAAGTAAAAAAATTATATTTCCTAAAAATAATTTTCAGAAAATGCCATTGATTAATTTTCAAAAATTCATATTCAGATTTTAATTGAATAATTATTTTCCAGTAATTGTTTCAATAATAATGTTTCAGTAAATGATACTTTTTTTTATATTTTCAGTAAAATGATTGAATAATAAAGTTTTCATCAATTATTTCTCTTTAATTTAATAAAAATTACGAAAGTGTTAAATAATTGGTTTATATATATATATATATATATATATATATATTTACTGTAAATTGGCAACTAATTATTTGGGTGGGCAGCCTGTTTTTCAATAAAATCAATAATTAATTGGAAACTAATTATTTTCCATTAATTATTGAATTTTTTCAGTGAGTATCAGCAATTATTAATTACAGAAAAAATCAATAATTACTGTAGATTTATTGAAAACAACTATTTTTATTAATGACAATTATTTCCGAAAAATAAATTTCAGTAATCATCATTAATTCCATTTCCTACAGTAGTTATGATAATTCATTTTACCGAAACTAATTTTTAGAAAACTAATTTTAGATAGTTCTTCTAACCAAAATTATAATATAATTAATTGTCAGTAATTAGTTTTTGTAATTTAATTTCAGGAAATTTCAGGAAATTAATTATTTACTCATAAATGTGTAATTAATCTGGGTCGGGTTTTTGATATGAAATTGCTTTATAATTTATCACAAATAGTGGAAAATTTTATTGTTTATTAATATAACAATATTAGATTCAAATATCACCGGTTAGTAATTGTAATTTTTAAGCCTTCCCTGTACTTTGTCCTTTGAAAAAAACCCTAACAACTTTCAAATAATAAAATCAATCAACTTTTTGATTTTCCAGTGCATCACAAGGGGCTCCATTAGTAATGGTTATATTTGACTAAGATCTGTATTTTTAAATGAAAACTTAATAATTAAAGGTTGAACATTTGGCTCTCTAAAATTTAAATATTGGAATAATTTGGTAATATATAATATATATTGGTAATTTTGGGATTTGGACTTGCCCAATTTTAAAGAATGTGAGGACAGAAAATCAAATGTTATCTAGGTGTCTCCGTCTTTTACGCTAAGTTTGGGATTATTCTACACGTCGACTCAGATCCTAACCTGTTTTACATTCTAGCCGGAAGCCTGGCACTAGTGGAAACGTGGCTTTTGATGATTCTGCCATAAAATAAGGGGATATTTTAAAGGGAGAATGACCAATCAGCTCAGATCAGAATTTTATAGCCCCAAAATAAAAATTCACGAGAGAATGATTAATCATCTCGTATCAGAATTTTATAGCCCCAAAGTACGGGGGGGGGCTGGAATCCGCATTTTAAAATTATAGTTTTGGAATTTGATAAATTTTTTAAACCACCCTTATTGTTTAGCTAATTGACTAAGTGTATTTTTCCTGTTTGAAAATTCGCTAACACTACTACCCTTACTATTTTTGACTGAAAAAGACTATTTTACCCTCTTATTCAGATCTCTCCATCTTCCTCTTAATCTCTTTGCCAGAACTGCGGTAACTGTAGGTGATCCTGAAAACCTCTAGCAAATTACTGACGGCTCCTCAGAGCACAAGCATTCCCTGATGGAGATTGGAAAAACCTTGGTGACTAACGAGTATCTATCCTACGTCGTGTATGTTTTGCAGCACGAGGCGGTGGAATAGTGAACCGGTGTCCTCATACCATGGAAACAAGCCAGAGATGAACGAACTAATGCAGAAGGCCATATCAGCATTCTCTCACTTTGTTTCACTTCCTCTATTTAAGACACCGCCGCTGCAAGCCTCTATTTTAGACACCGCCGTTGCGAGTGGTACTTCTCTCTCCTGCCACCTCTCTTTCCCTCTCGTCTCCCTATCTTTCACTCTTTCTTCCCGCTCTTTCTCTCTCTCCTCTCTCTCCCCCTCTTTCACTTCCTTGTTTCACCATCGTTGCTGCAACTACTCTCTCGCCACCTCTCACCTCCTTATCTCTCATTCTCTCTCTCTTCTCGCTATTTCTTTCTCTTTCTCTCTCCCCTCTTCACTTCCTTTGTTTCACCGGATTTGGTATTCTCTCACCACATCTCGTCTCCCTATCTCTCATTCTCTCTCTTCTCGCTATTTCTCTCTCCTTCTATCTTTTTCTCTCCCCTCCTCTTTCATTATCTCTGTTCCACCATCGTCGCTGCAACTTTCAACGGTGTATTTGATTCGGGTTGTAATGTTGGTGGGAGTTTCAGATAACTGTTGCAGCTTTCAGGTTTTGTTTAAATAATTGGTTGGATTTATTGGCGAAAAATTCCTAGAGTTTGATCACAGGTGTGGGTTAAGGGTTATTTTGTCATTTTAAAATCATGTCTTTTATCAGGGCATGAATAAAACATGCCAATAAGTATATAATTTACAAAACCTTGCATAATCTAAATTAATACAAACGCAACATATAATTAATTAATCATATCAAATTTTCAAATACAAACATGCATGATGTATTTATTACACATGTAATACAACATGGCTTGCATAATATAAATTAATATGATTAACTTATTTAAATTTTTTACTAAATGAAATGTATGGCCCAAATTAACACATTGGTGTGATTAACCTGAAAAT